GGGGACAGTATTTATTAGGTTGTGTGGGAGGTCTCTGCTCAGTAAGATGGACAAATTGTCAACATGCTGGCCTGTTGGGCGATTCTGGGACTACACTACTCTGTGTTTTGTCACTAGGAAGTTAGTGTTGACAGAGGAAAAAGGAAAGGAGGACTTGGTGGCTGATGTGTGCCCTTTTCTCCACTCTGCTCACCCCTGGACATGTCCGTACAGGTCATGGACACTCTGACCCTCACAGAAATACCTGCTGTTTGACCAGGATATTGCTATTGGACTAGCATATCTTTTCTCATTTGGAAAAGAAAGCTCTTTGCAATGAAATAAAATGTCAATTCCTAAGAGGTTGTGGTTGACGCTCTCTGGGATCAGCTCAGAAAACTCTATTCCTGAGTTGTGATCAGTTTGCCTGACACTGTTTCCTTGGGTGAGTCTTTTATCCTCAGCAGAGGGGTCCCTGCTCATGAAGATCATTCCAGTTTTTTATGGTTGTTGCAGGCTCTTATTTAGAAACTGAGTCTGCCCTCTGCCTGTCTGTCAAAGGGTTTCAAAGTGGCTGCACCAGGAACTGTTTCAGATTAGAGACCTAGTTAATAATCACCCATATTCTCTGTGCAGTACCGAAACCCCCAAATCATCCTAGGAAAAGAGAAGTAAACGCTGACACCCACTCAGAGTTGTCTTAGAACTAAATGTCAGGATAGCTGCTTTTAGGTTGAGAGAGAGAGAGAGAGAGAGAGAGAGAGAGAGAGAGAGAGAGAGAGAAGAAAAGGAAAATAAAAGGGAAAATAAGATTATCACACCAAAGGGTAGCTGTTTGCAGATCACCCAGGTGTGCTCTGAAGACCAAACATCTACATCAGCAACTAGTAGGAAACGCCTGAGCGCCTCTATCTCTTAGCACAATGGAATCAGACAGCATGGGAAGTGCACGCGTGCGCACACACACACACACACACACACACACACACACACACACTTCATTTGACCCTACCTGCAAGTCTCCCTAGAAAAGGAGTTTCTGTGGGTGAGAGAATGAGGCCAGGTGATATTCCAAGGANTGTGTGTGTGTGTGTGTGTGTGTGTGTGTGTGTGTGTGAGAGAGAGAGAGAGAGAGAGAGAGAGAGAGAGAGAGAGAGAGAGAGAGGGCAGGACTTCTGGAATGGTGATGTGAGGAGCTCGATGAACCTCCTTCCCCAGTAAAACAACTATTTAACTGATAAAAATTATATCTTTTTTAAAATCCTACAATTTAAAGTCTCTGGAAATTGTCTTAAGGCATGCAGCTCTTTGAGAACTATTTATTCAAGGAAATCTACTAAATCTCAGTATGAAGCAAGAGTCTGTGGCATTTAAACCTTGACCTGTTCCATTAATCTCCCTGTTCCCCAAGCTTCATGTGATGGAAGCTCTACTCTGGGTGGGTATGGCCAAAAGACAGGGATCCCTCTCCTTACAGCTTCCAATTGAGGGCTACAGATCACCCCTAGAGCAAAGGCTGCTGGCATCTCTCATTGCTCCAGCTCCATACTGCAGAACCTCCATTCAGTGCAAACATGGACAAGAGGACCAGGGACCCCTCCCTCCACCCAGTCCCTACACATAGGGTAAAATCTCTAGTCCAGGAGCTGCAAGTCTAGTCTTGAACACACCTGCCCTGACTCACATACAGGGTGGAGGTTCTCTTGTACAGAGCAGAAGTGCCACTGCCAGAGAACTAGGTCACTGTTTCTTCTGCTAATTCCGGTGCCACTGAACAGGTTCTACCCATGGGCAGAAGCAGGCCATGAGAACAGACAGCTATGCATCTTCCCCTTAGAGAACTGATAATACATTAGCTAAAAGTTTATTAGGAATGGAACACTGGGATTTCCAAGCATAAGGGCAGTTTATTGTTGAAAACAATAGACGATTTTGCTTTTAAGCAATCAAGGCAGTAAGCTGGTTGCCCCGTGAGAGCAACCAGTGAAATGGTAGACCAGCTGGAAGTTTAACAGAAACAGCCAGGGAAACAGAGAGGTCAAAAGAGGCCCCTGGAGTTGGCACAAGCTACAAAGATTGGCTTCAAATGTTACCCTTGCAAAGGAGCCTGTTATAGACTGAGTGTTTTTCTCACCTCAAAGTTCCCATTTTGAAGCCCCAAATCCTATGTGACCGTATTGATGACAGGGTCTTAAAGGTGATGAAGGTTAAATTAGCTCATTAGGGTGGAGCCCTGATATGATAGACCTGGTGCCTTTATAAAAGGGATACCAGAGATCTCTGACTCTCTCTACCATGTGAGGACACAGTAAGAAGAAAGCCATCTACAGGCCTGGAAGAGAGTGCTCACCAGAAACCAACTTTCCCAGCACCTTAATCACAGTCTTCTAGCCTCCAGAGTCATGAGAAAAGAAGTTTCTGTTATTTAGGCTACCTCGTCTGTGGTCTTTTGTTATAGAAGCTTGAGCTGACTAATACAGGACCCAACTCGCATTGGATCAGATTGTGGAGCTATTTATGCTTCAGAACATCAGTAGAGCGATCAGCAAGCTGTTGAGGAGACCAACAGCTGGGTGTGATGCCAATACTTAACAGTGAGACCTTGGCAAGAGATAGTCAAAGCAAACATGATTAAAATGATCGCCATCCCCGGGCAAGGGTCTGGGTAACAAAGACTGTCCACATGCCCAAAACTGCACCCAAGGATAACAATAAAAGCTGCAGATGCAGCTTTTAGAGACCAGCACATGAAAACATACAATAGAAATGAACCCATACTTCCACCAAACCTTGTATGCAAATTCTCACAGAAGCATTACTCAGAGTAGCCAAAACCAACGAAACAACCTAAATGCCACCAACTTATTAATAGGTAAATAAAGCATTGCCTATTCATACAATTTTATTTGGAAATAAAATGCAACAAAGTACTGATGTACTAATATTTGCTACAACCTGGATGAAGCTCTTGAAAACTTTAGGCTAAATAAATCATTCACAAAACCACATATTGTATAATTTCACTTATATGAAATGTCCAAAATGGGCACATTCTAGAGACAGGAAGTAGATTAGCAGTTGCCTGGGGGTAGGGTCACATTAAGGATATCCGGGCCTTACTGCGGTTGTGTATAGAATTTCTTCTTAGGGTGACAGAAGTGTCCTAATAGATTGTAGTGATGGTTGCCCAACTCTGAAAATATGCTAAAACCCATTAAACTGTATACATTAAATAAGTCATTTGTGTGGCATATGAATTATATCTTGATGAAACTGCCTAAAAAGGGGGGCAGGGCATAGGACCCCTAGCCTGGGATGATAGATTACATTTTACTCTGTGAACATTTCTAGTCTCTATTCGCTTCGGCTTTCTCTCCTCAAAACATTTCTTTCACATCACTCATTTATTTCACAAACGCTTAATCAAACAGATGGTCTCCATGTTTTGCCTCTGCACCGTGGCCTTCCAAGCAGCACCCAACGTGATCATTTTAGAAATATGAACCACAGAACGTTATCTTCCTTCTCAAAATGTGCCAACTTCCTCCCTTTAGACTTTAAAGGAAGACCTGCTTAGGATGGTCTGCAGAGGTCTGCACCATCTGACTTCTGCCGACTTCTTAGACTTCATCCAATTTTACTTTCTTCATGCCACAGTAGCCACCTAGGTAGTTCCCTTTCTGTTCATGACAAGCTTTTGAACATGACAAGCTCTTTCTTGCCTTTGGACTTTGGCACCAGTCATGCCTTCGGCTTGGGATGTTTCTCCTTTACTGAAGTCTGCCTCTGGTTATCCTTTAACTCACTGCTGAGACCTCACCTCTACAGATGTGCCTTCTCTTTCCACTCTATTTGAAGCAGCCTCACCTTTCCTCTCCCAGTCACTGCCCATGACATCACACAGCCACTGTCACTGGCAGCCAATTTACTGTCTGTCTCCCTCTGCTTCTCAGATCAGAACTTTGTCTCAGAGACCATGGTGTCATTAGCACCTCTGACAGTGCGGGCACACTCCAGGCTTGCAATACATAGGTGTTGAATGAATGAGTGTACATGAAATGTTGGAGATGCAGTGGACCTAAGCTTTCATCTCCTTTTCTAACAGCAATAGTGGGAGAAGTGATGTGAAAGCACAAAGAAAAAAAAAGTGATTTTACGTAGTCAACATGTGAAATAAGAGAGTGGAAACATTCCCCAGCTCCATTTTACAGGTATAGAAACAAAGGGGTTTGACTTCTACCACCAAACAAAAATAAAATACAAAATAAAATAAAAGCTTCTCCAAGATCACAAAATAAAGCTCCATTTTCTAATTCCTATTTAAAAAGAAAATGAATGCAAAGTTCTAGGTTATTGACACCAAATTTTCTAATATTTCCCTATTTCTGGTCTGTTCCTCTCCTTTTTTTTTCTCTTGGATGCTACCGTAAATTTCTTTACTCTGGCCTACTGTTTCTGCTCTTCAAAGCCTTAGCAATATTTGAATGCATGGGAATCTATGGTGATTTATTAATTGGCAGCAAACTCACATTTAATTTTTTGATGCATCATAGCATTTGCTTTTTAGAAACTTCTTTTAAAAATTACTGGAAATCACATCATCTTTCAGCTCAAAAGTCTGTACTGTATCTAGGGACACTTAGACCACTTTGCTCGAATGAGAGGACATAAAATGTATTTTAACTTTGGACCTTAACTTCTTTTGGAATTAGAGATCTTTTTGGGAACCCAGTGAACACTGTGGGCCCTTGTTTCCCAAGAAAACATACACACGTGTATACACACACACTTCATTTGACCCTACCTGCAAGTCTCCCTAGAAAAGGAGTTTCTGTGGGTGAGAGAATGAGGCCAGGTGATATTCCAAGGAGGCTGCAATTTTAGCAGACCTACCAAGAACATTGATGTAACAGGCTTGTTATTTTAAGTCCAGGAAGAATTTTTCTTTTTTCTTTTGGAAAGTGTGAATAATTGTGATGCTGCTTTGCTCCCAAACCTGGACAGTGAGTTAAAGAGCAGCATCAACAAGAAGAAGAACAACAACAAGAATAGCAAAAGCCCTCTCATCCTGGCCACCATGGAATTTCTTGAAAGAACTTATCTTGTGAATGACAAAGCCACCAAGATGTATGCCTTCACACTAGACAGGTAACAGACATCTGTTTCCACTTCACCATTTTCTGTGTCTTCAATGCTCAATAAATCCCTAAATCCTACAGCTTCAAATTGGAAACTTCTGCTGTACAACTTGGGGGCATTTTGTAAAATTTTATAAACTGTTGGCTGACTTGTATAATTCATATCCTGAAATGCGCAATACTCTATATATAGTTGCTGTGATTGCTTCAATAGCCTAAGAGCATGAAGGACACACTTCATGAATTTTTTTTTTCCACCTGTAGATTTCCTCACCGCAAATAGACATATACAATTTAAGGTGTTTACCTTTATTTTTCCTCAATTATTCCCACTTTTAAGGTAGACAGTAAATTCTATTAAATTACATTTAGAAAGAATTAAGGCTTTTCAACTATGTGTCAAAACTGTTACACTGATTTTAAAATTATTTGCTATTTTCTTAATCATGTAATAACATTATCACATGTATACACCTGTAATATAAACAGCTGAGTTTAATGTACTATGTAGTTCAAGTACTTTTTAATATCTCTTACAGTGCCATGTGCACTATATCCCTTCTTTTTCCCTTATTTAAAAATCGTTGATTGAATATGCCTGGATATGTATTGGAGATGAAAATATTCCTAGTCCCAGATCTCTGTCCTCTAGAAACTTTAGCCTAATGTGGAATACATATAACAAAAAGTCAATTACAAAATAGCATATAAGTGTCATTCTGGGGGCATTCAATGAGAGTACCTCAGGGGAACCTAGCTTTGGGAGCCAGAAAGAGCTTTTCAGAAGGGAAAGGCCAAAAGCTGAAAAATAAAAAAGAAGTTAGAGTAAGGTTAGAAAAACCCACACAGGAAGTAGAGTTAGGGAAAGTTTTCCAGACAGAGTTAATTTCCTGATAAAGAAAGAGATATGCAAGAGTGAAATTTTGGTGTGTTTGGGGAATTGAATCCAAGTGGGGGCACAAAGAACACACTTGGTACATATTGATGAACAATTGAAAATCTGAAATAGATTCATGTTAGGAGCAGAATTTAAGAGAATATTTACGCATTAATAACATGTGTAATGATTGTGTTTGTTTCATGGAGCCACTGTTTCATGGAGCGAGACTGTTTGATAGCATCAAATATTTGAGCAATTGCAAAGGAACTTTCTCTCAGGAGATATCTATATATCTATCTATCTATCTATATATATAGATATATAGATATAAAACTTTGCTTAAAAAGGTATGACAAAGAATCAAGCACATCTATTATCTCACCTTATACAAATTCTTTTTCTTAGAAAATAATTTTACATGTGATTTATTGAGATCACAAACAACAATGCTTTATGTTAGGTCAGGCAGACATTTTGCACAACAAACTGTGAACACTAGGGACATTGTTAATAGAGCATCTCTATATTATTGAAATTACAGTATTTCCCTTCTCATTAAAATAGACCATTAGTGCTCTGTTACACAAATGAAGCCAACCACTTATAGTTACAGGGTCTCATTTGCCTCATATATGGGTATGCTTTTCAGGATATGGTGATGATAAAAAAAAATATCAAACTCTTTTCCAGTTTCTTTTCAAATAAAAACAAACCTGGAAGAGATTATTTATTCTGATCCCTTATTTTACCAGTTAGGAAACTAAATGCCAGAGAGAATATATGCCTTTCTTCAGGTCAGATGTCTGACTATGGCAGAGCTGGGACCTGGACCCATGCCTCCTGATGGTGAATTTAGTGTCCCCTTCCTCCTCCATCTCTCCCACACACACACTTTCAGCATGCGGCCTCTAGACTCCTTAATCTATTTCCCCCTGAGGTCACATGTACCTTGATTCCTCACTTATTCACTTCTTTTCCTCACCTCCCCCCATCTCCTTTTTCATGTATTATGTAATAGATAATTTTGTCTAGGGCTAGTTATTTTCTTTCCTCCTTCCTTCTCTTTTTTATGCATCAGCTTTGTGTTTAAATTGCTATCAGCTATTAAGAAACTTAATCTGGAGGAATCTTTATTCTCTAATTCCACAAAAGGAGTGTTTCATGCATCTACCACTATGTAAAACAACTCCCCCAAACCTAGTGGCTTAAACAGCAATCATTTTATCACTTAAAATACTGTGGGTCAGGATATGGGCAGGGCTCCAGGTGGAGTCCGCTAGGTTCCTGTGTGAGGCTGCATTCCACTGGTGTCTGGGCTATGCGAGAAGGTCAAGGACAGCTTCACTCACATGTCTGGGGCCTCTGTGTTGGATGTGGCTGGTCTTTGCTTTCCTTCCCCTGGCTTCTCTCTCTCTCTCTCTCTCTCTCTCTCTCTCTCTCTCTCTCTCGTGTCTCATTTTATCAGGTTAGCCTGGAAGTCTTTATATAGCAGTTCAGGGTGGCAAGAGAACACAGTGGGATCTGTTGTTCTCTGATGGTCTCAGACAGTCTAAGAGCCAAACTGGCACATTTGATGGGTGCGAGTGAGTCCCAAATCCCAGGTTTAAGGGATGGGATGATAAATTCCAGCTCTTGATGGCATGTATACAGGAAATGCTGGATATTATCTTACTGACATTTTACCACAGAAAGTAGGAATATTAGACCCTGTTGGTCCTGTGAACACTATTGTGTAGACTCCTCTACCCTCTCACCCTCCAATTCCCAGCCCAGTGATGGGATTCCCTCTGCTTTGGGCTCCTCTCAGCAAAGAAATACTTGTATAAAGGTCACCTACACCGACATCATGGTTTCTCTTTTTCCCAAATCGTATATTAAAGACGTACAGGGATGTGAGGGCAGGGACAGATAAAAGGGACAAATTAATGGTGTCTTTTAAGTATGGAGCCTTACAAGTGGTGTGTGTGTGTGTGTGTGTGTGTGTGTGTGTGTGTGTGTGTGTGTGAGAGAGAGAGAGAGAGAGAGAGGGCAGGACTTCTGGAATGGTGATGTGAGGAGCTCGATGAACCTCCTTCCCCAGTAAAACAACTATTTAACTGATAAAAATTATATCTTTTTTAAAATCCTACAATTTAAAGTCTCTGGAAATTGTCTTAAGGCATGCAGCTCTTTGAGAACTATTTATTCAAGGAAATCTACTAAATCTCAGTATGAAGCAAGAGTCTGTGGCATTTAAACCTTGACCTGTTCCATTAATCTCCCTGTTCCCCAAGCTTCATGTGATGGAAGCTCTACTCTGGGTGGGTATGGCCAAAAGACAGGGATCCCTCTCCTTACAGCTTCCAATTGAGGGCTACAGATCACCCCTAGAGCAAAGGCTGCTGGCATCTCTCATTGCTCCAGCTCCATACTGCAGAACCTCCATTCAGTGCAAACATGGACAAGAGGACCAGGGACCCCTCCCTCCACCCAGTCCCTACACATAGGGTAAAATCTCTAGTCCAGGAGCTGCAAGTCTAGTCTTGAACACACCTGCCCTGACTCACATACAGGGTGGAGGTTCTCTTGTACAGAGCAGAAGTGCCACTGCCAGAGAACTAGGTCACTGTTTCTTCTGCTAATTCCGGTGCCACTGAACAGGTTCTACCCATGGGCAGAAGCAGGCCATGAGAACAGACAGCTATGCATCTTCCCCTTAGAGAACTGATAATACATTAGCTAAAAGTTTATTAGGAATGGAACACTGGGATTTCCAAGCATAAGGGCAGTTTATTGTTGAAAACAATAGACGATTTTGCTTTTAAGCAATCAAGGCAGTAAGCTGGTTGCCCCGTGAGAGCAACCAGTGAAATGGTAGACCAGCTGGAAGTTTAACAGAAACAGCCAGGGAAACAGAGAGGTCAAAAGAGGCCCCTGGAGTTGGCACAAGCTACAAAGATTGGCTTCAAATGTTACCCTTGCAAAGGAGCCTGTTATAGACTGAGTGTTTTTCTCACCTCAAAGTTCCCATTTTGAAGCCCCAAATCCTATGTGACCGTATTGATGACAGGGTCTTAAAGGTGATGAAGGTTAAATTAGCTCATTAGGGTGGAGCCCTGATATGATAGACCTGGTGCCTTTATAAAAGGGATACCAGAGATCTCTGACTCTCTCTACCATGTGAGGACACAGTAAGAAGAAAGCCATCTACAGGCCTGGAAGAGAGTGCTCACCAGAAACCAACTTTCCCAGCACCTTAATCACAGTCTTCTAGCCTCCAGAGTCATGAGAAAAGAAGTTTCTGTTATTTAGGCTACCTCGTCTGTGGTCTTTTGTTATAGAAGCTTGAGCTGACTAATACAGGACCCAACTCGCATTGGATCAGATTGTGGAGCTATTTATGCTTCAGAACATCAGTAGAGCGATCAGCAAGCTGTTGAGGAGACCAACAGCTGGGTGTGATGCCAATACTTAACAGTGAGACCTTGGCAAGAGATAGTCAAAGCAAACATGATTAAAATGATCGCCATCCCCGGGCAAGGGTCTGGGTAACAAAGACTGTCCACATGCCCAAAACTGCACCCAAGGATAACAATAAAAGCTGCAGATGCAGCTTTTAGAGACCAGCACATGAAAACATACAATAGAAATGAACCCATACTTCCACCAAACCTTGTATGCAAATTCTCACAGAAGCATTACTCAGAGTAGCCAAAACCAACGAAACAACCTAAATGCCACCAACTTATTAATAGGTAAATAAAGCATTGCCTATTCATACAATTTTATTTGGAAATAAAATGCAACAAAGTACTGATGTACTAATATTTGCTACAACCTGGATGAAGCTCTTGAAAACTTTAGGCTAAATAAATCATTCACAAAACCACATATTGTATAATTTCACTTATATGAAATGTCCAAAATGGGCACATTCTAGAGACAGGAAGTAGATTAGCAGTTGCCTGGGGGTAGGGTCACATTAAGGATATCCGGGCCTTACTGCGGTTGTGTATAGAATTTCTTCTTAGGGTGACAGAAGTGTCCTAATAGATTGTAGTGATGGTTGCCCAACTCTGAAAATATGCTAAAACCCATTAAACTGTATACATTAAATAAGTCATTTGTGTGGCATATGAATTATATCTTGATGAAACTGCCTAAAAAGGGGGGCAGGGCATAGGACCCCTAGCCTGGGATGATAGATTACATTTTACTCTGTGAACATTTCTAGTCTCTATTCGCTTCGGCTTTCTCTCCTCAAAACATTTCTTTCACATCACTCATTTATTTCACAAACGCTTAATCAAACAGATGGTCTCCATGTTTTGCCTCTGCACCGTGGCCTTCCAAGCAGCACCCAACGTGATCATTTTAGAAATATGAACCACAGAACGTTATCTTCCTTCTCAAAATGTGCCAACTTCCTCCCTTTAGACTTTAAAGGAAGACCTGCTTAGGATGGTCTGCAGAGGTCTGCACCATCTGACTTCTGCCGACTTCTTAGACTTCATCCAATTTTACTTTCTTCATGCCACAGTAGCCACCTAGGTAGTTCCCTTTCTGTTCATGACAAGCTTTTGAACATGACAAGCTCTTTCTTGCCTTTGGACTTTGGCACCAGTCATGCCTTCGGCTTGGGATGTTTCTCCTTTACTGAAGTCTGCCTCTGGTTATCCTTTAACTCACTGCTGAGACCTCACCTCTACAGATGTGCCTTCTCTTTCCACTCTATTTGAAGCAGCCTCACCTTTCCTCTCCCAGTCACTGCCCATGACATCACACAGCCACTGTCACTGGCAGCCAATTTACTGTCTGTCTCCCTCTGCTTCTCAGATCAGAACTTTGTCTCAGAGACCATGGTGTCATTAGCACCTCTGACAGTGCGGGCACACTCCAGGCTTGCAATACATAGGTGTTGAATGAATGAGTGTACATGAAATGTTGGAGATGCAGTGGACCTAAGCTTTCATCTCCTTTTCTAACAGCAATAGTGGGAGAAGTGATGTGAAAGCACAAAGAAAAAAAAAGTGATTTTACGTAGTCAACATGTGAAATAAGAGAGTGGAAACATTCCCCAGCTCCATTTTACAGGTATAGAAACAAAGGGGTTTGACTTCTACCACCAAACAAAAATAAAATACAAAATAAAATAAAAGCTTCTCCAAGATCACAAAATAAAGCTCCATTTTCTAATTCCTATTTAAAAAGAAAATGAATGCAAAGTTCTAGGTTATTGACACCAAATTTTCTAATATTTCCCTATTTCTGGTCTGTTCCTCTCCTTTTTTTTTCTCTTGGATGCTACCGTAAATTTCTTTACTCTGGCCTACTGTTTCTGCTCTTCAAAGCCTTAGCAATATTTGAATGCATGGGAATCTATGGTGATTTATTAATTGGCAGCAAACTCACATTTAATTTTTTGATGCATCATAGCATTTGCTTTTTAGAAACTTCTTTTAAAAATTACTGGAAATCACATCATCTTTCAGCTCAAAAGTCTGTACTGTATCTAGGGACACTTAGACCACTTTGCTCGAATGAGAGGACATAAAATGTATTTTAACTTTGGACCTTAACTTCTTTTGGAATTAGAGATCTTTTTGGGAACCCAGTGAACACTGTGGGCCCTTGTTTCCCAAGAAAACATACACACGTGTATACACACACACACACACACACACACACACACTCGCATGCTGACACACACACGCATGTTCACACACACGAACACATTGCATCCATTTCAATGGACCCTCTGAAGCCCACTTCTGGATGTCTTGCTCAGTGCTTCAGGAAGCAATCTCAGCTCAGAGTGTATCAGCATCGGTGAATCTTATAGGTCTAGGACATGGAGTAGTATTTGAAAGTCAAAATTGGCCAGGCGTCTTGCATTTTCCCCTGGTGGCATGCCCCACAGGCTATGCTCCCGGTGGTATTCCTGCCTTGCTCTGCTTTCTAAACTGCTCTAGGGTAAGTTCTCGCTCCTGGTCACTTACCACCTGATTTTCTCTGGCCACAAGATTCATGAAAAATATGAAAAGAAGTAAAGCTTTCCACGACCACAGTAAGCCAGAAGTCATATACTCATGTTGTGCCGGAACAATCGATGACCCTGTCATTCTCATGCTGCTTTCTCAGCACAAGGAAAGGGGGACCTCCACTATGCTTTCTTATTAGTTCTCAGGCTCCTCGGAGCTGATGACCATCGGGGACCCCCCCCCCTACTACACTTTGTAAAGGGTACTTTACAAAGGCAAAAGTTTATAGATATAAGTACTCTACAAGCCTCTTGTCAAGTAGCTCTTATTCCAACACGAAGATTATTTGGAACTTTCAAAAACCTGAGTGCTAGTAACATCATTGGTACAAACATTCTGAAGTCAATTTGGCAATACACATCCAAGTCTTTAAACACACAGGTACTCTTTGACCAAGTAATTTTCCTTCTAGGATTGCATTTTAAGAAGATAATAATACATTGAGCAAAGATGAACTATAAGGATATGAATCACAGAGGTGCTTATGTAAGCAAATAACTGGGAAAAAGTGAATTGTCCAGTAATAGGAAATTAATTATGTTGTGACATATCTACATTAAATATAATGATGTCTGCATGTTAGAAATAATAATGGGGAAATTTACTAAATTGAGACAATGTTAACAATGTACATGGCTAAGAATCAGGGCCCTAAGCTGTACCTTTGGTAAGAGTCTATTGTGACACTGTCATTTCATCCATAGTCCATTCCAGCCCGTCCCCACTGAGTAGCAGCCCTGTGATTTGGGGAGAATTTTCCTCAGCTCTAGGAGTCAGCATGGCTGGGTGCAGCCAATCTTCTTTTGCAACAAGGTCTAAGCCAATTAGCCCATCCATGTGCTGTATGGTTGGTTCTCATTTGGCCATATCACATGAAACTCAGGACTCTTATTTCGCAGTTTGGGAACAGGGACCTTCTGTCTGTCCCTGTATAAGAAAAGCAAATCTGTAGCTCTGATTACCTTGGGCAAACGTCTCACTATGACGTGGAAAACCAGCCTGAGGTTGAAGCACAGTGAGAACTGCAAAGCAATGGATCTGGTGCCTTAATAAATCCACCTGAAACCTGACACCTCTTGACGTTTCCAGTTGCAGAACCAATAATCCCCATTTATTAATTAACCTACATGAGCTTTATTTTCTGTACTTGCCACCAAAACCATCCTAATTAATATGTCCTCTAATTATGTATAAAAGTGTGTTTAAATATTGCAAAGCTAATCAACGGCATATCAATAATAGTTGTCTCTTGCAGGTAAGGTTACCAGGGATTTTTCCCTCTGCTTTGTGCTTTTCTGTAATTGCATAATTTCTATAGTGATTACATGTTACTTTATTTAGAAAAAAACAAATATCTAATGATAATTAGTTACAATCATCATCATCATCTAAGACAAAGGTTTCAGATCTTTAATTCCTGATGGTGATAAGACAAATGAAATAGCTCTTCAAGTGGAGACTAATTTATTCCTGTTTTTATACCATTCAAAGCCATGAATACAAAATTCTTAATTCTAAGAATCTTATTAATGTCTTCTAATAAGTTTATTCAAAAAACTAAAATCTGAATAGTTCAAGATCTGTAGACCTATGGACATGCATCAGTAGACATTGGTTTTAGGTGTACTAACGTTTAGGTAGAGAGGCAGTGTGGGCGTAGTGAAAAAAAACCCCAGGCTTGGAATCCCAGCTCAGCCATTGCCTGGCTATTTGACCTTAGTCAATTAGTTAACCTCTCTGTATCATAATTAGCTAAGAAACAACGAGGTTAGACTAAATATTATCTAACTTTTTCCATCTGTGACATTCTGTAATTCTATAAACTGCTCTAAATAATTATTAATATTTGAACAGAACTGATATGTACTGCCTGCTTTAGGAAGTATAAGTAAGTTCCAACTCCCATTCTAACTTTCCTTGGCAGAGAATAACTGCCAAACTGTGTTAAGACGGTTTCTGTGGGGCCCATATGGACTCAGCAGGACAAAGTGCTATGATCTATTATTATAATAACAATGTTGTGGAGAAGAAAGTGACAGTGATGGCAGGCAACCGTGGGTATTTGAATCATCAGGCTGGCTCATACACGCACATCTACCATTGTTCCCGCCCCTTTTTATTTGTGGGACAGTGTCCAATATCTTTTCAAAGTGAAGTAATTGGGAAGGACCTGCATCAAAATGTATAGTTTTCCTTTCTCCTGTTCCTTTGATATCTCTTAATCGCTGGTGGTTGAGATGTAATGAGTTTGACTGAATAAAAGCAAAACTTTTGGTAATTGAGATTTCGTAAGAAAATTTCTTGCTTTTCCTTATACTTGATATTTCTGAACATCACTGCTTTCTAGCTAGTTAGCCTAACTGTCCTAATAGTGATTCAGAGAATGGGTAAGGCTGTCAGCGAGGGGTTTGCAGCCACATTCACTTTTCGCCTCTGTCAAACTCATCCATAGTGTGGAACTCCAGCGGAAGACCTTGAATAAAGATCAATGTCCTGGAGAGAAGCCAGGGGAGCTGGAGTCAGGAGCCATCTATCACTGCCATGGCAACTCCAAGGCCACAGAGAACAGGGCAAATGAGCAACAACACGCCAAGTGGAAACTCTGTGCTGCTTCGGGAATATGCTTTGTGTTCATGATCGCAGAGGTTGTGGGTGAGTATTTCTCAAAGAGACTTCTCTGATTAAACAGGCGAACAAAACCCCGTGTTGTTGCAGGAAGGTTACCCAGGTTCTTCGTTTAAAGTAAGAGTTAATACTTTCTGTAAGTATGAAGTAACAATGTGCTCATGGTAGATAAGTTTGAAAAGAGAAGAAAACAAAAACTTTCATCACTATTCCACATTTCAGGGATAACCTCCAATAAAATCATGGGGTGTTATTGTACAATATATTTTCTACTCATAGCTCAGTTTTATTTTGTTTTTTTAACAAAACTGAAAGTGTACTGAATGCTTTTGACCATGCCATCAAATACTCCACAAAAACATTTTTATGCTTGAACAATATTCTATAGTACACTCCACTGTGATTTACATAACCATCTCTCTATTGTTAGAAATTAGGGACTTTTTTCCTGTTTATGGGCAATGCTGCAATGAAAACTCTTAAATAAAATTCTGCCTGCCTGTCTGGTTAATCCCTTCAAAGAGATTCCTAAAAGTGGAAATAATTGGTTGAAGGACATACAATATTTTTATTACTTCTTGATGCATCTTGACAAAGTGCTATTCAGAAATCTTGAAACAATTCATATGCTTGCCAACTCTACATGAGAATGATTCTCTCTCCAAATCTTTACCAGAACTCATTTTAATCTTTAAAAAATCTTTGTTAATGTATAGGTGAATGTGCTCATTTTAATATTAATTTCTTTAATTGTTACTGCTAAAATATTTTTGCATGCTTATTTCTGTATTTCCCTGTTAATGCATTTCCTGCTTGCCTGTTAATGTCTGTTGCTCATTTGTTTTTTGAGATAATTTGTAATTCTCTATATTGATCTCTGAGAGCTCTTTATATAGTTAGGGTATTAAACTTGTTATATTTGTTACATGTACTTTTCCAGTTTGTTGTTTACTTCTTAATTTTTGTTTAATTTTGGGTTTGACTTAGAGAAGTTTCAAATATTACATAAATAATTATATTGAAGATTTCATTTTGAGCTGATTTCTTTTACTACTTGTTCAGTATTTTAGCGCTTAATAAGCCTTCCCCAGCTACTGAGAAGGTAAATACCATTTTGTTGCTCATTTTTTTGTATTTATATTTAAAATTAATGTGAAATTAGACATGCTCTAAGGATTGACAGTTCTTTTTCTAAATAGGTAACAAAGTTTTCAGCATCATTTATGGAATAATTATTTTCTCCATAGATTTTTGATGTTTCTTTTATTATTTATCAAATTTTTATAAACAATAGGGTTTCATTCTAAGATGTTTCACTCACCTGTGTTGCTAATCTCTGTCAGTAGTAACATATTTAATTAGTGCAAATTTTTGTGTTATAATATCTCTTGTTCTTCCTTACTATTCCTGTTTTACAGACAAAAGGTAAGCGCTATTCATTTCTGTTTCTTATTCTAATTAAACATGAGAATCATTTTGTTCACTTCCCTCCAAAATCTAAGTATGGTTTTATTGGTATATAAGTTTATCTGGGAACACAGGTCTCCTTAAAATACATACTCAGTTTTTCCTCTAGAAATATGGTTTCTCCATGTGTCTAAATACTCTACATCTCTCATCAAAGTTTTGTGGTTTTAGTTTGTTTACTTGTTTGTTTTAACACAGGGACAGCCTATTTCTTGCTAGAGTTATTTATAGTTATTTTATGTGTTTGTTATACTCTTTCCATAGGTAAATGGGGTCTTCCTTTTCTCATGTCCTGTTTTCTAGATGGTTACTTTCTGTATTCTGGAAAGTTTTCAGTTTGTATATTCATTTTGTACTCAACAGTGTACATATTTGAAATATTATCATTCTAAATGTATCTCAGTTCATTTTCCTTATTCCTTTCTCTTCCATTCTCTCCATCCAAGGAGGTAACACTTTCTTGTGCAAAAACCACCTCTCTCATCATTTTCAATAGTTATACCTCTTTGGTATGTTTCATATTTTCATCATGTCAAATTACATCTTGTGCTAAATCAAATCTTATGTTCAACTATTTAACCTTTAACTAATATGTTTCCTGAGGGTTTAGTATTTTTATTATGTTAATGAAATGTTTTCCTTGTCCTAGATTTTTAATTGTTAACAAATGAATGTTGACTTTTATCAAATATCATTTAAATTTATTCTGTTAAACTTTTTTGACCCATTGTTGATGTGTATTATATTCAGAGATTTCCTAATATAATATGATCTTTGCATTTATGGCATTATGGTGATGATAACTAATACTTATTTAATGCTTACTATGTAACAAGAACTGTGATGAGTGCTTTCCATTATATTGCCTTTCTTAATCCTGTCAAAATCCCTGAGAGGGAGATCCCATTATAAAGTGCAATTGCATTTCATAGTCGAGGTACCTCGAAGTACAAAGAGTAAAGCACTCTGCTTTAGTAACATACCTGCAGGTGAGCAGGCAGTCTGAATTCAGGGCTCGGGTTCTTAGACTGTTACTGTGGCGCCTCTCAAATTGACTCTGATGGACCATCTGTCAATGTGTGGATCAATCTGAGCCACGCATATTTTCATTAGGATTTTTATAGCTTTATTGATACTGCAAATTTGACTATAGTTTTCTGTTGTGGAGCAATTTTTCCTAAGTTTTTTAGTCAGTTATGCATGTAAAAGTGGAAAGTTTAGTTTCAATAATACCTTTTAAAAAACTGAAAGAGTATATATAACATTGCAATTATCTCTTCCTTTTGAAGAACTCCTGATAAATCGTTTGGCTTTAGAGATAGTCTTGGGAATAATTCTTTGATATGTTATTTAGCTCCTTCCACCTTCATTGACATACTCAAAATTTCGACTTCTTGAGTAAATTTTGGTCATTTACGTTTTTCCAAAATCATTCATCTCATTGAAATTTTCAAATTCATTACCATGCAATGAAATATGAGAGTTTCATATTAGTATTATGTATTCTAGCTCCTTCTTCATTTGAATATTTATACATTTTCTCTTCTTTTTCCTGATTTAACTTGATAGATGTCTACCTATTTTATTGATATATTATTTGTATACATTTTCTTGAATATATTATTATTTTAATTGTTCTTGTTTTTTAATTCACCAGTTTGGCTTTAAAAGTCTTTTTTACTTCCTCCATCTTTGTTTTGTCAGGGTTGTATTCTCATTGCATATTTTAATATCTTTGGGTGTATTCTTATTATTTATTTATTTACTTACTTATTTTTATTCCTATTTATTTTTTTATTCCTATTTATTTTTATCCTTTCTTTTTATTAATAGTAAAATTATGTGCAGCTAAGAAGTTAGTCTAAAGGTTTTGATATGTAATGTCATCTTATTATTTTTTTCCAAAAAAAATTTAAAACTCCCTATAAGCTACCTTACATTACAGTATCATAAGCTACTACCACTGTTACTACTGTTACCTGTTATACTCTGTTACCAATATTTTTGCTCCATTTTCTCTCTATTACCCAAAAGGAGGACTAAGTGAATAACAATCTTAGACTGGAAGGAAATGGAATCTGCTAAGCTATTTTTTTTTTTGTACTACAATAGCTAGCAATCAGAATTAATTGGTTTCTTCAAGCTATGGAGTCTTATGGCATATACACTAAGACTTTTATAGCTTTTCAAAACTGGAAAAGAACTTAGACCCATCTAGTCCAAGACAAAGCCAGGGTTGTTAAAAATCTTCTCCCAGTCAGTTTACAAAAATAATTAATACACATAATTTCTAGAGCCAGAGTAAGTCTTTGGAAGGAACTGACTTAATAGCTTGTTTGGAACTGCAATAATTTACTTTCAGCAGTTCCAATCTGGAAAAGTCCCTTTGGAAACCCACTGACATCTCTGCCAGAGTGGTATTTTTTTAATTTTTTTTATTGAAACTCATAGGATTGTAGACAATATTCAATTGCTCATGTAAGAGACTGACAAAATACAAAATCCAAAAAACAGGATCCATTCAAAACATGATTTGAAAAGGTCATGCTGTGGAAATGCATAGCCTTTCAAATAAAGTCCTGGCAGCATCCCACGCAAACACAGCTCAGGAAGATGTAGAAACTGGCTTGTTTCCTTTACTACTTTCTTCCTCGGCTTTTTCCTGAATCCAGGTAGATGCTGAGAATCAATGGCCTCTTCTCCCCAGCTGATGTCTAATCAATAGTCTGAAACAAGATGGCCGTCCATTCACAAAGCTCACTATTCTCCTTGTACCTTTTCTCATACCCTGTCACTTGGCTTTTACAATGACTAATATTTTTAGGGGGGGAATGGGAACCTATTCACTTGGAGTGAGCAAATCAATTTCCTCCTTTCTTTCTCATTCCGAATAATTAGGCAAACTTTTCCCCATCATGGCAGACACTGGAAATTTTACTGAGCACTGGGAAAAGCTGACAAAGATGCTTGTAGCAAGAAGAGGCTGGTTCCCTCCATGCTAGGCCCTGCTTAGCTGCCCCAAGTAAAAGAGATCAATATATTGAAAAGCTCTGGTATCCCAGATGAAATGAAAATTCCTTACTTTAGCTTTCAAGTCATTCCACCATCTGACTGCCAAAGTGACTATCAGTCTTTTTCTTTTACCATTTCCCTGCATGACTCTTCTGTTTCAGCTATTTATTCACTTCATCCAAAATAATCATTGTACCTTCAAGTCTCTGTAGCTTTTGCTTATGCTTTCATATTTGAATGCAAAAGCCATTTCCTCATTCCCCACACTCATCAAAACCCTGGCCATGATTCAAGACCCCAATCCACAGCTCACCTCCTCCCTACAGTCATTTTTGACCATATTGGAGAAAGCAATTATTATTCTCAGATCACTTCTGCAGGATATGGGATTTGAGCAAGGCCGTGGGCGATGGGTAGAAATTGAGAGGTGGCTAACAGGAAGATGAGAAAGGCCTTTAAGATGGAGAGGGCTGAATGAACAGCACTGAGTACTGCTGTGGTCCAGACGGTAGGAAATAGCAGCTTTACTGGGAAAGACTTTGAGTGGGTAGGTCTTCAATAGGAAAGGGCACATGTACTCGTAGGAAGCAATTCAAGTGAGTCTGATGTGTCACTGGATTTGGGTGCCTCTGTTGGTAGTGGACTTATCACTGCCTGTTCAGCAAGCTTTCTCATCCTCATTGCGCTGGTTACAGTTCTGATCCTCCTGGCCCCAGTACCTCATGCTCATAGGCAGGGTTTGGTGTGAGATGCCAGGCTGGATTCATCAGTGTCTCTGGGACGTTGTATAGGGAGGCTGGGTAATAAGCTCTCTCTTTCTTCTACATATGCTATAGTGAAATGACATGAACATGTGAGATATAAAACTGAAAGCAACAAAGGAACAAGACAAACAAATAAAGACACAAAAACTCATAGACACGAGCAATAGTTCAGTGGTTACCAGAGGGTAAGGGGGAAGAGGGTGGTAGATGAGGGTAAACGGGATCAAAAACAGATGGTGCCAAAAAATATATACACATTTTAAGAAAGGAAAAAACTGCATCAAATGTGTAATACTTAATATATACCAATAACAAAAGATGAATACAAGTCATGTGTTTAAATTTTTTGGCACCCCGGTATATGGTGATGGAAGGAGAACTCTTGGTGGGAGCACACAATGCTATATATAGATGATGTATCAGAATTGTGCACCTGAAACCTATGAAATTTTACTAACCATTGTCACCCCAATAAATTTTAATTAAAAAAAATTTGAGAAATGTCAAAATATGCCTATGCAAACTCTGGTATGTTTTAAATCCTTGTTAAATAATAACTCCATAAGTTTTTGACAAGGCATATAGTATAATAGTGCTATTCATAAGACAATTAAACAATTTTAAAAATATAAATTACTAGCATGCAATAGTCCAGTAATGGGAACCAAGGCTAATGTTGTCAGGTAAACATTAACTTCTTTCAATCCTGTCAGTATACCTGTGTTCTCCACAGACAGCGCCACGTGTAGTTAACACCAACTCTCTAAATCTGAGGTGAATATGAGACCCAGGCCCAGTGGCTCCCCTGATCTCCTACTGTCATCTTCACCCCACAGGCCCTAAGTAGGGTCAGTCTCCTACCTTGTTATCAGCACATTGCTTTCTACATCTTACCAAGTATTCCAGAAATATGAGGACTACCGCCTTACTTCACGCTTTTATCAAAATTTCCTTTCTCTATTAATGTTGGGTCATTACCTCTAGTTTCTCTTCCTTCCAAGTCAGCTTCTGGCAATTACTGGCAAAGATCTCTCTCTTAAATACAGCTCCGAACATGTCATAATCTTGCCTCAAAATCATAAGTAGATCCCCTTATCTTATAGGATAACATTCAAGTTCATTAGCATGACATACAAAGACCCACACAAAGACCCCAAACCCACCTTTCCAGTCTCATTTTCCATTATGCCTCCAACACCCCCTAACTCCTGGTTTTCCACAAAGGTGGCACATTCTTTCATTTCTCTCTGTTCTTGTGCCTGCTCTCACCTCTTCTTGAAAAACCCTACTCTTCTAGCTAATTCTTACCCTCTCCTGGGAAAAGTTCCTCAGTGTTCCCAGCGAGGGTGGTTTTCTAATCCCCTAGCCCAGGGGTCGGCAAACTTTTCAGACGCAAGAGCCAATCTTGTCCCTCACAACAATTTAAAAATTATTCGAGAGCCATAAAACAAATGAAATCACCATTATATGAATAACATCCTTTAAAAATTTTATAAATGAAACTGCGATAGTTTTATTTTCATTTTCAATTGTACCTCAGAGCCGCATGTGGCTTGTGAGCTGCAGTTTGCCGACCCCTGGTCTAGCCCATTATGCATATCTTCAGTAAAGTGAGTGTTGAATGATGAGATCACTGAAGAGAGGGCCTGTGATTTGTTTGCCTCTGTTTATCTTTGTATACCCTGTCCCCCTACCATGCACAGTAAAGGCTTAATAAATAGTGGCTGGATGATTGAATTAATTGTCAGCAATACCCCATGGGCTCATAAGCAAATGCAAGTTCAGTCACAAACTACCTCTTACAAGCAGCTTGCTCCATAATCACTCAGCATGACTGCCCACAGTTCTCTGGATGGTTCTTCTAAGTAGCTCTGATGGTTGCAAAATGGTTCTTGGTTCCCGGGCCTCTATATTAACATGCCTCTTCCAAAGCAAGCCCTTTTCCATTCTCAGCTGTCCCCTGACTCAGCTGAGCCTGGTGAAGAAACCCTGGAAGACTTCATTTCCTTGCCTTAGGCTATGATTTTAGCCCAGCACATAGAATCACAACCATAATTCATTGCTGAGATTGTGGCATGTTGTTTATCTGCATGGAGTCATTTTCCAGGCAAGAAATAATGCATTATTAACACAGCTTAATTATCAGGCCCTCGTTTGGCGGATAGAGCAACATTAGAGGGTGATTGGAAGGAGAGCTGATTTGTTAGCAAAATGTTACTTTTTGGCTAATGAATCATTCCGATTTTTGCACTGACAGCTTAGTAACAAGCTTGAAGACCACTTTGCTTCAGACCATTAAACTTTGACAAACTACTTATTAACTACAGCTAGAGCCAGCAGTATGTGGGGACTATTGCAATTATGAGCCATAGACGTAAATTTTTGTAATCATCAGTCGACAAGGTGAGTCTGATGATGGAGGGGCTGATGACTGACAGTCTCCATGGCTTTTTAGCACGGAAGGCAATAAACAGCTGCTGGGAGGACAGATCAGTCAGTGAAAGCTCTGTGCTGGGAAGATGTAGTGAGAGCAATAAAGGTTGTTGCTCTCAGACAACAAGCCCTGTTCAAGAAGGGAGCGACACAGTTTTCCTTTGACTTCAATTTTGGAGGCTGGAGGTCTTTTCTCAAAGGAGAACTAGAGAGACACGGAGGGAGCCCAGCACATGGAGAGACAAGTCAGGCAGGAATCCATGGCTTGTGTTCTCTTCTTATGCTTGCATTATTGGATTATTGTTCACCGAAGAATCCCATCGGAAGGTACCTGCCCTTTCTCCTTACTGCTCCCCACTATATATAATAGGGATCTCAAGCTCAGGTGGATAATATACATTAGTAGAGCAGAAGGAAGTGGTAAAGCCTATGGTAAAATTATAAGTAAAATAAAATAAAATAAAATAAAATAAAAACTCATCAGCAGGCCAGGTTGTCATCTAGTTTACAGACAAAAGCCACGGTCCTCAGATTGGAGAGTGAGACCCTGTGAATCGGGCCTACACCTCTCCAGCCTGATCTTTTCATATTGCCCTTTTTGAATCCTTATGCCCCTGTCTAACAGGGATGTTCTCCAAGTGTGCCCGCACTTTCCAATCTCTGTACCTGTGCTCCCCTAGGAATAGCCTCACCCTCAAAATTCATTTCCACCTGTTCAAATCCTACCCACTCTCTGGGTGTCAGTTTCTCTGCTTGTGAAACTGGGAAGAAGAGGTGGATTACATCCATGTTAATTATCTTCTAAAGCTCTGTGTCTATGGCGTTTTCACCAACTCTTGTTGGTGTGCATAGGAATTTAGTCGCACTGGGGCCCTAACCTGTGTAATATTCTGCACCCCCTAGGTGGCCACATTGCTGGAAGTCTTGCTGTTGTCACAGATGCTGCCCACCTCCTCGTTGACCTGACCAGTTTCCTGCTCAGCCTCTTCTCCTTGTGGTTGTCCTCCAAGCCCCCCTCCAAGCGGCTGACATTTGGATGGCACCGAGCAGGTACAATTCACCGATGGAGCATTCGTGGCACAGTCGTACCTCAGAGTCAAATCAAGAATAAAAACCAAAGGGACAAAGCAAAGCTTTGTTCAAAAATCCCTCAAAGGCACATCTCTCTGGTGCATGGGATAAAAAACAGACGTGCATGCAGGAATATGCTCACAATGTTAATTCAGTGAAAAACCAGGTTAATCATGCTACCTCCTCTCCAATGGGATAACAGGAACTCACGCATCACTTTGGCAACCACCCCAGCCCAATGGTCTCAGTGTGTGGTGACAGCCATGATATTATTCATTCAGTTACCCTGCATCTGAGAGAGAATATGGGGTAAAGTTCCCATTGTTTTACAAATTAAGGTATAAGAAAGTTGTAGAGGTGGAAGAACTTCCCACGGGGGAGTCAGGAATAGAAAGAGACGGAGAACTGAGGGTGGAGCAGGGGTGGGCAACATGCTAACACGACCAGGCTTCACTAAAAGGTGCTGCTAGACAGACCCCAGCTTGTAGATTGACAACTGTGAGCTGTGGTGTTTCAAGCATAGAATGATAGGAAGTTCTAATTTGATACCAAACAGCTTATCATCGTGGGTGGTTTGAACTGCCTTTCCTTTAACATTCAAGTGAGATAGACATGAGGCAATGAACATCAGTAAAAAGAGTTTGTGACAATGGGGTCCGAAGATGCTTTTTCAGTCCCTTAACAGAGCTACACTTGGAAAATGTGTACTTTTGGCTGAGCACCTGTCCTTTGCCTGTATAAATTATTACTTGTACTTTACCCCTTCTGATACCATTGGTCAAAGCTGTTTTGTCAACACAGGATGTTCTGTAAACACAGGGAGGACTCAGAATTTAGAATACTGCTTTGTATGTTCTCATCCTGGCCACGGAAGCCCTTAAACACTCTATGCTAGAAGACCAGTGCTGTTCAATAGAACTCTGCTTCAAGGGAGACACTCTATAATGTACAGAGTATTCTGTGGCTATGGACACTTTCAACGTGCTGAATGCTACATTTTTAATGTTACTTAATTTAAATTTAAACAGTCTCATGTGATTGATGGCTACCCTATTAGGCAACTCCACTATAGACATAGAGGTGGGAATCAACTAGCACGTCAAACACATACTTTCATGGATAACCTCATTTAGGAAGAAGCTAAGTATACAAAGTTAATTTATTTAAGGAGAATACTAAGTGTCTACTAAGACAGGTGGCATGTGGATATGGCAAAAATCATGGCCGTTGTATGTAAATGACTAAAGTCTGGGAAACAATATGTTTCCTTGCTCTGCTTCAAAGGAGGTGAAGGTCAACATTATGGAATGTGCCTGACCATCACTCACAGAATGTTTCTAGACCCCGTAGGCTTTTAGAACCCATCTATAAGGTTGTGTTACAGATCAGGGTGAGGTGTTAAAGAACTCCTGAGTAAGCAAACGTGGTTTACTCAGCAGGCAGATCGAACACTATCTTATCTTTAAATATTAATGTAAAGGTCTTCATTCTGATGCGTCTTTTCCTTACTGTTGCTCTTAAAACTGCAGTTGGAGTGCTGATCTACCTCTGAGCTTCGCTCTGTGTTTATAGTAGGTTGGGTTAGCAAATGAAACTCATTTTTCATCAAGTACCCTCTGAAGCCTTCCCTTTTTACTATTTTAATCCACAGAAGGTGCTCGCACAGGTACGGGCAAGTTGTAAACATTTTATGGCAAAATTAAGTTTCTAAATACCTTTTACTCTTTGTGCCTCATTATTTCTTCTCCCAATAAGCTTCGATCACATTAGCACCTGCTTAACTTAAAGTCCCCAAGGAAAACAACAAGGGTAGGCAGTAATTAATATGCTTTCAAAATTTGCTGGGAATTACTGAGTAACCTGGAGCATAATGAAGTCAGGTGCTGATGCTTCATGAATGCAATATCAGAGCACCTTATCTTCGTGCTGAAATCCTTCCCCACGTTTGCTTTGTGAATCACTGAATGAACTAGTTTGAAAGGTTGAAGCCTCTTTTTCTTAGAGAGGTGGGAAAGGGACATTATGTCTTATTACTCCTGAGGAGGTCAAGGTGATTCACGAATTCTTTGTGTAACAGCTGTCTGTGTGCTTGAATCCTTAGAGATCCTTGGTGCTCTGCTATCCATCCTATGCATCTGGGTGGTGACCGGTGTGTTGGTGTACCTGGCGTGTGAGCGCCTGCTGCACCCTGATTACCAGATCCAGGCAACCATGATGATCATCGTTTCGGGCTGTGCAGTGGCAGCCAACATTGTGTAAGTCACCCTACACCCTGACTATAGAGCTTGTCTGTTACTCTGTCTGGACATAGATGTGTTCGTTGTTGTTTAATTCCTCTACTTGGAAAGATGGTAGGGACCTCACAGTGTTCAAATGACCCTAAGACCGAAAATAAGGCTGGTTGTGCTAGGTTAAAGGAAACAGTGCTTTAATATCGGCTCTAATTGCTGTCATTTTGAATGCTTCCTATGTGCCCGAGGCTGTGCTAAGATCTTTTGATCTACAGTATCAAGCTCAATATTCACAACATTCCCACTTTACAGGTTAGGAAACTGAAGCTCAGTGAGGTTAAATAAATTGCCAGTGAGGTAGTGTACAGCCAGGATTTGAATCCAGACCCACCAGACTCAGAATCGACCTCCTAGCCATTCTGCTCTCTCATGCACAATATGGTTCCATGTGGGATGTGACTTACCCTTTCTCAGTTTTTATTACATGAACATATTATGGGTTCCCAGCGAGCTGGGTTGGGAAGGATCTTAAATTTTATTTACTTCAGCTCTCTTTCTACTTTTTAACTCTTTTTGCAACATCCCCATAAAATGGTCATTAGTTTCATATATTTTAATAGAGTAACAGGGAATTTATTTCTCTCAAAAGCATTCTTTCTTATTTTTGCATCATTCTGATTGCATGAAAATTCTTCCTGTGTTAGCTAAACTCTGTCTTAATTTTCTACCTATTGGTCCATTCTCTCATTCAAGAAGTCTTAAATCATTCTTATGGAACATGTCATCAAGTCCTACTAGATGTGTGATTATTGCCATATTGGTCTGCTCTTCCCCAAATGAACCACTTTATTGCCCATGACAATGGGGTTTTCAGGCCAGGGCTTTTGATACTTTTAGGTTAATTCGCTCCTTCCTATTTGATAGTCTAATTCTGGGCAACCCTGCTTAACACTGTATTCCATCTATCTATCTAGCTAGCTAGCTAGCTAGCTAGCTATCATCTTTCTATCTACCTACTACCTACATACTTGCCTACCTAATATCTGATAGATAGAATAACAGGCCTTCAAAGATTCCCTCATTCTAATCCTTGGAACTTCTGAATATGTTAATTAACATGGTAAAAGGAACTTTGGGAATGTGATTAAGTTAAGAATGGACCTTGAGATTGGAAAATTATCCTGGATTACCTAAATAGGTTTGATGTGACCACAAAGGTCCTTATAAAAGGGAAGCATGGGGTTAGAGAGAAGATGCTGCATTGCTGGCTTTGAAGATGGAGAAAGGGGCCTAGAGCCAAGGAATGTAAGTGACCTCTAGTAGCTGGAAAAAATAAGAAAATGAATTCTCTCCTAGAACCTCTATTAGGAATGCAATCCTGCACACCCATTTTAGACTTCTGACCTCCAGGACTATAAGATACACACTTTTATTGTTCTAAGCCACAAAGGTTCTGTGGTAATTTGCTACAGCGTCAATAGGAAACTCACACACTATCTACATATCATCTATCTATCTTGCAATGCAACATGATATACACTATGCAGTAGGTTTTTACATGAAAATGAAGAAGATGATGATAGCAGAATGGCATTTTAAATTTTTTTTTTTAAGAGAGGGCACAATGGAATCTCTGGAATTAGAGGAAAATCTGAGCATGTACATCCTGAAAAAGCTCCGCAGGTCACTCGGATACTTTCACCTTGTGCCTGCCTCCATTCCTCCCACCTTAGTTTACAAACTGTTGCTCAAAAATGTCTGAGCTAAACAATTAGAAGAGTGGAATTTCATCTGCTTTCACTGACTAGGTGCCTATTTCCACCTAGATACATTGAAAATGTGTTTCACACTGACACTGGGACATCGATGCTAACCTATCACCACTAGGAGACAAGCCGGAGCGCATGTCCTGCTGACTGGGGGTCAATAGCATCATCTTTGCATAAGGAGAATAATATGTCCACAAGGCAGCAGGAAAAACAAAAATATTAATAATTTCTGGAGAGTCCTATGTCACATAAGTTGTGTCAATGTTAGACGAAGATGAAGGATACATCTAGCTAAATGCCATAGACATCTGGACCCTCGATGATGGAGTCTGACTTTCTAAGTAGATATCCACATTTTCTTTTTTACTAACTGCTTTTGAACTTTGACTTTATTGTCATGAGCAATTTGACCTGAACTTTGAACTTTGCTGGTGCTTAGAAAGACATGGGAATTGGAAAGTGTTCACTTCCCTGTGCAAGTAGGTAGTTATTTATGGATAAGGATACTGAGTGACTATAACCTTTTCTTCCAGAACTGGGATTACAGGTTTCAAGCGCTGCGAGGTGCTAATAGCGGTTGCGAAGGGATTCTAGGATGAAGATGATTGACAGAGCCTAAGGCTACGTCATGCTAAGTTTTCCTCTGCCTGAAACATCCCCTCCTCTCCTAGCCTTTTTACCTCCCACATAACCTTTCAAATCCTACTCAATTGCTTTGTTTCTCTACCTCAATCCGAGCTCCCTATTATACTATATATAAATGTAACTCCTAATTGAGGGTGAATTTCTGCCCAACCACTGACAATCTAAAAACAGTACATTATGTAATAATCAAATCTTGGTGGATAGCTCAATCTACTTCGTGGGGATGGCCTGAGATTTAACAGACGCCTCACTGAAAATAGACTGCAATACATGGTACCGAACAATAATTTTTAAAAAATCTTTGTTGCACAATGTACAGGAAGGGTTTCTAGGCAAAACACCTCTTGTTGGCCGTCAGTAAAAAGGTTCTCATTTTACCCTTGGTCTAATACCTCTTAAAGTTATAGATAAATAAATTAGGTACATAATTCATAGTGCCTACTATTGATCTCTTTGACTTGGATAGGAGCTGTTAAGTTTTGCAATATATCATATATATATATATAGATATATATAGACAGAGATATATATATATATATATATATATATATATATATATATATATATATACACATATACATTTTTAATACATTAGTATATTTTAGTCTCTTGATGAATAGCCATGTAAATATAAGCACACCTTTGGCCATCAGGAAATTATTCAAGTTTCATATCCTCACGGAAATGAATAAAATTAAGTAAAATAAACGTTTAAAAGTCCCATCCAGATAAAATTCACTACTTCTTATTTTGTTTTATCCCTTTCTGCTGCTTTTTGCACTTGAAACCAATACATTTAATTAAGCTCTCATCAAAGCTCAGCTTTAAGTCTAGCTCAGTGCCTGACATTCAATAGACCCTCAATAAATATTTCCCCTCCTTACTGTCAAATGGTTAGCTTTCACCTAAGAAGTGATGCTTTCCAGTTTTACTGTAGAAAAGAGTAACATTAGGTGGGTGGAAGAGAAAATTGAGGTGAATCTTCCTTGTCTATCCTTGTGTGAAAAATTTTTAATTCTATGATACACTTGTATTCAACATTAGTCCAAGATAGTACATTTTAAAGCATCAATAGTTCAACTATCTGCCATTTCGAATAACACATGCTATTGTCACCTCCTCCATTATGCTGCACAGCTTTTTCAGGGTTAATCTCACGTGTGCTGAGAATATTTTCTCTTTCAGACTAAGTGTGATTTTGCACCAGAGATGCCCTGGCCATAATCACAAGGAAGGGCAAGCTAACGCCAGCGTGAGAGCAGCGTTTGTGCATGCCCTTGGAGATCTATTTCAGAGCATCAGTGTGTTAACCAGTGCACTTGTTATCTACTTTAAGGTGAGCATATTTGAGTTTATTCACTGTCATAGTAATTCTGTGAATTAGGTAGCACAGAAGCTGACACACTCCAATATTAACCTAAATAAACAAGGCTGGACTGCCTACATTTTCCTACACAAACTACCTCCTAAGGTTTAAACAAACAGACATTCAAAGTCTGAAACCTTAGACTTTCCAAATTCTTAAAAGCTGTGTGCTTAACTGTAGGGCTGCCAGTGCTTCAAGAAAGTAGTTCCTTTTGTCATGGGGTCAAGACGAATCAGAATAGAACGATGAATACCTTAAGGTTCTTGGGTTGTAAGCAATGAAAAGCTCATTTAAGCAATAAAAGAATTTATTGGCTGAAATTTATTGGGCATACTTTCAGACAGAAATCAAGGTAGAAATAAGAGTGAGTTTTGGTATCTAGATTTCAGAAACTATCCAACTTCTATCCTAAACACCAAGCTAAAATGAATGTGACTCAACTAATTTTTTTCCTGTTCTTGTCACTATGCTGAAGATTCACATTTCTGGAAAAAGGGGTCTAATTGAACTAACTTGGGTCTTTTACCTGCTGTTTGGTTGGCGGAGGGTACAGCATCTGCTTGATTATCCCACCAATATCACCCACAATCGGGGAGATGTAAGTTCTCTCTAAAAAGTCAGTGTTAATGCAAAGTGGGAATAAATCCTGGGTAGGCCTCTGGCCCTAAACAAATATTCACTACAGATCTCTAAATAGTGATGCTGAGAACTAACAGAGGAGGATTGGGGTGGCGGTAGAAGGGTAATGGACAAGAGCACTTAGCGATGTCTGTTTGCATCATGGTTGTCCAGTTAGCAGGGATTCTATGTTACTTTTACTAAAAAATAAAAATGTAGATATAAATTACAAAGACATTCTCTGAATTTGGTTGTGAGCAAATGCTCACTGAAAGCTTTAAGTTTAAGATAAAATAGTTCAAAATTGTATGGGTTAGTGGAGTTTGAGACTCCCCTTGTAAAGGTTAGGTTGATGCAAAGCTACTTAGAGACAATGAGGCACAGACCTGTGTGGCACAAAACTTCATCAGAAGCAGAATAGATGTTTCACTCTGAGGCTAAGGGCTCCAGTGGTGAGAGGTGCAAGCACCACGAAGCCTCACCTCGTACTCTTAGGGCTGCATCAAAGATGGCTACCTCGAATATGTGTCATACTTGGGAGGGAAAAAACCAAACTAACCCCAGTCTGCCAAGACCAAGCTGCACCCCAGTCTGCCAAGCTCCAGCTGCACCTCGGTCATACGCCACCTCTGAACAGATGACAAGCTTTCTTCTCATTACAATTAAGTCTGAAAAGGCACTGAATATTATGCAAATTAGTGCATATTTTCATCACATACTCTGTATTTCTATTAATTCCAGAGAAGTTAAATCAGGCCTCTTAAGAAAACACTCAAGGATATGTTTCCCTTTCCCTCCTAAATTATGAGGAGGGCATGCCTTATAGTTGCTCTTCTTCAGTCACTGGTAGTTTAAAGCTTAAAAGGAGTGAGTATTCGGGAGGTCTTGCCTCTGAGTTGAATGTCAAGTGTCAGGAGGCTGAAAGGGTGATGGAGAGGGAAAGAAACAGAAACATTTACTTATTTTATTAATGAGACTTTCTGCAAAGGAGGCATACATTCAATTAACGAAAGTCCTTGTATTTTCTAGCCAGAATATAAAATGGCTGACCCAATCTGTACATTTGTCTTTTCTATCCTGGTTTTGGCCAGCACCATCACTGTCTTAAAGGACTTCTCCATCTTACTCATGGAAGGTAGGAGTGATTTTACTATTATTCGTAGGAGCCATGTTTTCTCTTCCCTATAACCACAAAAAAAGAATGGCCTCAGGCACGCTCACTAGTAATTTGCATCACAGAGAAAATTTAAAGCGATGGGGAATTTTTGCAAAACCAAATATTATCGTTTTTGGCCTCTATTTTTCCTCCAGCAACTATTAAATGATATGGCTCAGTGTAAAAGAACAATGCGTACAAACACTAAAGGTAGACATGGGGGAAGATATTGCAAAAATATTAGTTTATCCCTACAAATATGGAAAAGGCCTAAGAAAGACTGCACAAATCTATCCTTCAGGCAGCATTGAAACTATTCTGAAGGACTTTCCTAAAATCCTGGTTAGACCAGGCCAGCATCAGCTTCACTTGGAAGGTTTGTTACAACCGAGATCGCTGGGCCCACCCATATGGTTCCTGGGACAGTAGGCTGGGGTGGGGCCCAAGAATGTGAATTTCTAACAAGATGGTGATGCTGCTGGTCTGGGGGCCACACCTGAAGCACCACTCGGCTAGTCTTTTCATGCCAGTCAAGAGACTCCTACATGAGGGCGCTGGGAATGGCACTGAGAAAACTCAATCACGACTAGAAGTTTGCATCATATCAAACATTCCGAAGATTGAAAATATTTGGGTATTGGCTGAACTTTTCTTTTTTGTCTAGCACATTTTGATATAAGGTAGACATTGTCTCAGAGTGTAGTAGCCTTCAAAACAGCTCACATGTCCTTAGTGGTCACTGCTAAGTACACATTTAAGGGTTTTGTTCTCACTGGGCACTGTAATTGTTGGCAGATGACAGTGTTGACAATAGTGAAACAAAATGGAGTCAAATGTCACTGAGTAACAAGCGAACTTCCCCACTCTGAAGGTGACTATATTTGGTTTGTCAAGTCACAAACGCATCCCTTTCCTTTCCTGGGGGCCAAGGGCTGAGCTGCAGCTGTAGTTGTTATGAAACTTATTGACTTAAAGGGGGACAAAAGACAAATTGGTGCACAATTTGAGATAACTATATTCCACTTTTTCTGTCTCTCAGTACAGATTTTCTCTGGTGACTATCTTTCTTATTTTATGTTAAAAAAGAACAGCTAATTATTGAAACTGGAGGAAGATGCTTACTTTTTAAACTAGGTTTTCAAATTAGGTCACCATAAAAAATACTCGTTTTGGGTAAAATTTTTAAATAATACAGAAAGGGAGAAAATGAACTTTAAAAGTCTCCGCATTTTTCCATCTTTGAATTCTGAGTCATATTCATCAGGGGTAACACCTACTAATAAGTTGACACATATGTTTCAAAAAATATCTATGCATTTATATATATGTATATTTATATATTTACATGTGTATATATAACACATGTATACTACAATATATGATATATGTGTGTGTATGTGATATATAGTGTATGTGTATGAATGAATATTTTTATATAAATGGGATTCTGGATTGATATATATTTTGTCTGGTACCTTGCTTTTTTCACTTGGAGATCTTTCCATATTATTACACACATAGAAACACGTCATTCTTTTACATAGCTACAAGTATTCCACTGTATGCGTGTACTTGCTTATTGGTGGACATTATAAAGAATGGAGTAACTACCGTTCTTATACATATATATTTTTAGCACTTCTATATCTATGGAATAATTCCTAAAAATGATACTGCTATTTCAAAAGTGATGTGAATTTTAAAATTTGATAGTTATTGTCATTTCTACCAAAGATACCATATCGATTTCTTTCAGGCCACTAGCATATGACAGTGTCCATTTCCTCACATCTTCATCATCATTGAGTATTATCAAATTGCTTATTCTTTTCTAATCTGATAGGTGAAGTATTTTATCTTATTGGTTCCATATGTAATTCTTTAACTATGAATGATATCGATTTGTTTCATATGTTTATTAATGTGGAAAATTATTTTTTAAATACTAATTTGAGTATTTTGCTCAATGCATTAATATTTTTGTAGACTTTCCCTTAGGAAAAACAAAAAGGTTTCTAGAATGTGATGGGGCACTGAGGTCAATGGGAACATATTCTCTAGCAGACTTGTATTCTCCATAAAAGTAAAGAAATAAATGAGGCAAGAGATACAAAGGGTAATGGGATTATGACTTCATCTCAAGGGTCCTGGATGAATGACAGCAGGTCTTCAAAGGGTCAAATGAAACTCCTCAGAGGTGACACACTCGGCATAATTGTTAACTTTGGGTTGCAATACGCAGAGGCTAGCATTTGCATAACACCTCACACTCAGAGCATGAACTTCAGGTTCTGACATTTCACTTATTTATGTGACCGTGGCAATGCTTGTTAACCTCTCTGACTGTAACAGTGATAACTAGCTCTTAAAGTTCTTACAAATATTAAAATAAGATAATCACTATAAATAAAGTACAAAGTGCTTAGCACAAAACTTGACTTATGGTATGTTCTCAATAAAGGTATGTTATTAGTATTACAATATAACAACTTCAGCCATGACTCATATACATTCTATGGCAAATCTGAGACGAAAACTTTAATTTGTTTCTAGTATCATGAGCTTTGTGCAGCTCACAGAATAAAAGATCATGTTGATCAGCAATTTGTTATCCCTGTGAAACAATATGAAGTGGGTTAAATGAAACTCAAAATTACAGAATTTTTAATTAGCCCCAAGGAGGAAATCCCCAAGGGCATGTTTCTTAAATCCTAAAACAAGGGGGATTAAGGATGCCCTGTTCCTTTAAGTAAATGCTTCGACTCTCTGCTCATGACAATCATCTGGGAAGCTTTCAAAAAATATTTATGACCAGGCCCCTTACCAAGAGATCCTGATTTAATTGACAGGGGTGGGAATGGCTTTGATGTTTTTTAACATGTTGCCAAGCTTGAGAACCACTGTAAAGTAGAACCACTACCCATTGGCTTGTAAATATTAATGCAATGGTTATCAACCTCTGGCTGTGTGTTAGAATCACCAAACGAGCTATGAAAATACTGATTGCTGGGTCTTATCCTTAGAGTCTGACTTCATCATCGGTCTTGGGTGTAACCTGGTCATTGGGATTTCTAAAATCTTCTCCAGTGACACTAAGGTTGAGAGCCACTCTGAAAGCATGTAGATTTCAGAGCCTCATCCATAGAAATTTTCTTCAGGAAGACAGGAATGGAGCCAAGGCATATTTATTTTTTACAAACACACCAGGTGTTTTGGTACACACACACACACACACACACACACACACACACACACATACACACACACACATGATTGAAGTAGAGGCTAAAAGGTGGTCATTCTTAGAAATCTCTTCTACATCATTCTCTTTGGATCACTCTCAGTTAATAGGGATTTAACTATTGCATCTAATGGCTTTACCATTGCTGTGTTGGTTGAGTTGATTAAAAAAAAATTCTATAAAACAACAACAACAACCCTGTCTTTTACAATTCTAATGAACCATTGGCTCCTTCTGTAGCTAGCTAGCCAAAACAAGCAAATTCACACTTTCATATCCTCTCATATTCTATATGACAATCTTTGCAGTGTTTGAAAAAAGTGGTCCTACTTCCCTTAGCCTTCCCTTCTCCAGGCTAGAAACACCCCAGTTCCTTTGGCCTCAAAGAATAAATAGCTGATTGGCTGCCAGACTCCCCGCCTTTCTCTATGCTCCATATTGTTCCTTTAGAAACAAGGATGATGGTCAAACTATTACATTCTGTAACCTGGACATTAAACCCTAACTAATGTACCTAAATTAATAGAAAATTTATAAACCAAATAAGAAGATGGTAGCACAATCTTAGGAGCACCTATTAATACCGTTCACTAAGTGACCTGATGGATAACTAACATTTGTATAGCATTACAGTTTACAAAGCACAGTTATTTTCTCCTCAAAGAACCCTGTGGGCTACATACATATTGTTCTTACCACCCCTATTTTATTACAAATGTGCTAAGAATCAGAGAAGATCCAAGATTTGGGTAAATTTGAAATAATGATAGCCACCATGCTAACCTGGGATTATTTGATACCAAACCCCATGTTACTTCATTTTGCATCCAGGGTGTATGCAAAGATAATTGGGAAAAGCACAATTGCTTTACTACTACACCCTGAAAATGAAAAATGATCACTGCTGTTGACTATTGCACAGTAAAATCTGCAAAAAATGTTTCATGAACTTTTAATTGATGGAAAACCCTTTGAAGGAGGTGAATCTGATTTGTAAGCATTTGAAATAAGAAAGCATAAATGGAAGACGGCAAGTTGATATTTGGATGAGGGCTTTGCAGCTCCAGTTAGCCATCTTGATGAGCTACATTCAGCTGAATAACAATAGCCCTCCCCTCCCTTTTGTCAGGTGTGCCAAAGAGCCTGAACTACAACACTATGAAAGAGCTCATGTTAGCAGTGGATGGGGTGGTGTCTGTGCACAGCTTGCACGTCTGGTCTCTAACGATGAACCAAGTGATTGTCTCCGCTCATGTTGCTGCAGGTTAGTGAGTTTTATAAATGCCCTGGACAAAATTCAGTCCTTGTTCTGTAAAATCAGTAATTTTTCCTCCTTTTCGTGGAGCTGCCTTTAGTGTCTGGGGCCTTTCAAAACTGTAAAATGTTTTGTATTATATTACCAAGAGCCTTCGAACACCATCCCCCTTGTCAATGTCGTCATGGCAACAATGATACTGATGACATCTCTGGAGGCCTCATGAAGAGGGTAGAGAGTAGAATAAAGGGATAAAATGCCACCCAAACTTCAAGACCTTAGACTCTAAAAATTAGATTTTGCTTGTTTGACTTGGTGCCCAATCAGTTAGTTAAGTAATAGGGATGATTTCAACAATAAATCTTCATTGAGTATCTCCTGTGTATAAGATGCTTTGCCTATCACTGAAGATAGAAAAATGAGGAAGATTCAGGTTCCACCCATAAGGTTTTAACAAGCTAAAAACTATGCTATAAAAATTAATGGTGTCTTTTTTACTGGATGGTTAGAAATTCTGTAACCATGTGCGATGATTCTTAGGATATTGGGTTTATTGTAAAAACTCCTTTCTCAAGTAGAAGGTGATTTTGTCCCCGATTTGTCCTAGGGCTGGGAAACTGCCCCGGGAGACAGCTCAGGTGAAGCACGATATGTTAGGCTGCTAAAAAAAATCTCAAGAAGCTACTCAGAGGCAGGGTACAGGAACACCGGTGACAGTCATTTGAGGACTTTTGCTTTCTCAGACACCCTCATCTTCGCTGAGAGGCTCAGATCTGGCTACAGAGAATACACACCATCCACTACACCAATATTTCACTGCACATGGAAAAACCTAGTCATCAGGTTACTATGGAGGCAACGTCACAGCCTCCTGATACCTTTTGGGACTAGAGAAATGGTGGCAGTGAGGGTTGCTGCACTACGAAAAACCTGGGGAGCTCTAAATGCTTCTTCTTCCTGTCACTAGCCTTGATATAAATTCTAATTAGAAACAAGGGCTGTGACCCAGAAATCCCTGGGGACTGGTGAGCAAGGCTGTACAAGAAATAACAGTTCTGTCTTGGCTTTTTCCAGGGCTTATCTCCCCTTCTATACTCTGCGTCCTAGGAGTGCCAGGCCCCAGACAGAACTGTGTGCAGGAAGAGGTCCCATAGGGACAGGGCTCTTTGCTGCACTAGCATTGCCCCTGCCTTGTCTGTGTGGGTGTTGCTGCTTGTCAGAGCCAACCTGGCTCCTTCGAGAACTCTGCCTGGGCCCCTCCCCACAAGGTACTTAGTTGCCCATGTGTGTGCCATCAGTGCTCATCTCACTGTGGTTCTTTTTCAACAGCAGCCAGCCGGGACAGCCAGCTCATTCGGAGAGAGATTGCTAAAGCCCTTAGTAATAGCTTCCCTGTGCACTCACTCACCATTCAGACGGAATCTCCAGCCGAACAGGACCCTGGCTGCCTTTTCTGTGAAGACCCCCAGAACTAGTTCAGTCACACCGTCAGCTTCCTGAGTTCGATGGGCCACTGCATGCTATTCTGCAGTTTCTGGAACCTAAGAAATAAGAAACCGAAGGAAGAAGTCTGAGAAATTCATGATATGGTACAATGCACATTTTTATCCTTCTTTATTTACCTCCATCCACCATGAACGAAGATGCATTTTGATTCATCCATCCACTGGATTAGCAACTCATCAGCAGCTGTGTTCAATTATAGGAATGTGTGTATAGGTCACTCCCGACAGGGGCTGAAATAACAGCTGTTTGTAAACACAATAAAAATCCCATCACCCTTCAATAGTGCAGCCCAAGGTTGAGTGGGTAAAGATGAACTCAGGAAATTCTGATCAGGAATCAGTGGCAAAGAAAAGAGTCACAAAATTCTCCCCAAACCTGAAAGGTGAAAATAAGAAGAGCTAAGTCAGGGGTAAAAAGAATCTGGAGGCATCACACCCCATTAGAACTTGACTTACTGACCAAGATGTAATAGGATTTAGGGTAGTAACTTTTGACTCCCTATCAACATTGCTGTTCACTAAATGGAGAAATGTCCTGTCTCTATCTTGCATACAAATTATGTTGTAATAAGTCTGAAACTATTGAATTATAGTTTATGTCTCTGTATAAAGTCATGGACAAAGGAAAAACTATGAAACTACTGCTTTTTGAGTGTTTTCCTATGGTATGACCTAATAATAAAAGAAAATGAGGAGGCACAGAGAGGCAGAGAACCTATCCCAAGTCACATGGAAAATAATCTAGTCCAAGAATTACGATAAGAACTCCCAGGTCTTGAATAACATTTATGGAGCACCAACCACTGTCCAGTTGTTATACTGGGCTATTTAAATAGGGCAGTTCATTTCACTCTAAAGATAACTTTGAGAAGTTGGAATTAAAACCATCATGGTGTAGCTAAGGACATAAGCCTCATAGAGGTTAAATAACTTAGACGATATCATTTGTTCATTCATTCGAAACTGTTTTTTGATGCAAGCTATGGGCTGAGCATTGGTGAACCAAGCTGATATACCCTTTGCCCTTACAGAGCCCTTTTCCTTTGGTGGGGGACACAGGGATTACACTAACAAACACTGCCAAGAATGGATACAAATAGTGACAAGTGATAAAGAGAGAAGAGAGGCTGATTTAGATTGGGGGAGGTTAATGGAGACCCTCTCTGAAGAAACAGCACCCGAGTTGAGACCTGAAAAGAAAGGACAGGTGATGATAAAATGAGCTGTAGGAGCAAGCTGGTTCTTCAAGAAGCAAGATCATGAGTGGACACCCTGAAGAAAGAACGGAGTGTGTTTCAGGAACTGAGGAAGACCCTTGTGGCTGGAGGGTACTAAGCGAGGGGATGAGTTAAAGGACATGAATCAGGAGAGATAAGCAAGTCCAAGTTGGAAAGGAGTTGAAACCCAAATCTACTTTATCAAAAATCCTATCTATGCTTTATCTTTGAACACTTTTATTATTTTGGCTGTTTCTTTTTGACCAAGTGTGCTGCATGACCAATGGCCATTATTTCAGAACTGCATGCAAAATATAAGTCTAATTTCTCAAAAGAATGCGATGAATAAATTGCTGAGTTTAAAAGTAAGTGACTGGGGTCTCAAGGATAGAAAAGACAGTCTGGGGAATATAATCAATAATGTTGTAAATATTTCTTAGGGGGCCAGATGGACTCATGTCTTGTTAGGGAGACACTTCATAGTCAGTGTAGAGGCCTGACCACCACACTGTATTTCTGAAGCTGATGTTGAATAATAATGTATGTCAACTATAATTATATATACATATAGTCACGGGACATGGAGTAGAGAGTGGGAATGGAGTCAATGGAATTGTAATAGATAAGCATGATATCGGGGGTGGGAGGACAGTAGATGGGGGGAGGGAGGTTGTTACTTTGTGAGGGTGAAAAGGATAACTATTGCATTGTTCTGTACACCTGAAACTAACAATAAAAAAATACAATAAATTTTTAAAAATAAAAAATAAAATAAGTGACTGGGGGCTGCCGGTTAGATCAGGTGGTTAGAGTGCAGGCTCATGACACCAAGGTTGCCGGTTCGACCCCCACATGAGCCACTGAACTGAGCCCTCCTCAACTAGATTGAAACAACTACTTGACTTGGAGCTGATGGGTCCTGGAAAAACACACTGTTCCCCAGCTTAAAAAAAAAAAAAGGTAAATGACTGGCAGTGCTTTATTCACATATACTATGCTGGTAGCACTCAGCTTGTACCATCTCTACACAAGAGTCTGGCTAAGGAAAGAGAAAACGTGAAATGGTTGTGGGCTGGCCTGACAAAAGACCTTGCCCCCAGAGAATCTGAGTTATGCCATTGACAATGGGGATATGAAAGGCAGACATGAGTGACATGGTGGAAATAGGGAACTCTGTGGTAGAGAAATGAACATGAGAGGGAATTAAAAACCATGGTTTCAATGCCTCTCAGCTCCCTCCCAGATCTGCGACCTTGAACTGTTTCTCAGTTTCTCTGAGTTTTAAATTCCTCCTCCAAAAACTGGGATTATATTTTCATCCAGGGGTTACGGTTACAATACATGAGATAATAAACGTAAAGAATCTTTTTTTCTGTGGGTGTGTGATATAAGTGAGTGCTCAATACATGTTCTTTTCAATCCAGGGTTTCTTATCTTTGGTATTATTGACATTTTGGGTTGCGTCATTCGTTGTTGTGGATCATTGGGATATGAAGACTTGGAGGTTGAGATGGCTGCCTTTTGACTAGAAGACAGGAGAAGAAGTAACTTCAGGCTGCTCCTTTCATTCCAGGTCCACTTCTGCTCACTTCCCATATCCTCCATCAAGGAGTATTTAATATGATTTGTGTGAGACTAGGACATTCTTTGGGCTCTGTTTCATTCCTAGACAGGGGTACGGTGTTATAACCAGAAACACATGCTATTATTATTATTATTATTATTATTATTATTATTATTGATTGATTTTTTTCTCTCTTTGTGTCCCTTTGGTAGATAAACCTAGGCAGAGTGTGTCACCTTGATCCAGGTCCGAGCCTCATTCTCTCCTTTTCTTTTCCAGCTCTTCTGAGCACAGAGGTGAGTGGTAAGTTAGGCCAAGGCCTTCTCTGAAGGTCTTACCATCCATCTCACATCTTACTCCCTCTCTGCATGGGGAGAACTGAATTTGCTGCTCTCAAGATTTAGATGGAAATAGAAAAGAAATAGAACGGTTCGCTTCAGCCTCCAGTCCAAGCAGTATTTCACTGGGTTATTGGAACCTGACTCAGATATTAGTGATATGATATTTCGAGTTGTTTTCTGCTATTATTCTTTGTATCGCTATTTCTCTTCATGGGGGAGAGGAGCAAGTGGCAAGGCCAGATTTCCTTATCCTGAATCCTTGATCATATAATACCATCTTACGAGCATCTAAACATCAGTCTTTACCTCTAACAAGGAGAAGGAGCCATTTAGGAAGGATATAGTGAGTTTTGAATATGTTATTTGAGTGTGTAAATGACAATCGGGCAGTTCAAATTTTGGTCGTAGACCTTAGGATAAATAACTTCTTGGGATTTTTTTTTCTAGTCTGAATTTGGGCATGTGTGTGAATATACAGAGAGGCCTTTTACAACTAATCTTTTTTCCTTGTCATACTTTGGTAATAAATCCTTCCTACTTTTAAATTCTAACCTGTTTATTGCAAAACTTTGTGCAATTACTGCTGTTCAAGAGAAAATATTTCCACCTACAAGAGTGCTAAGGCACTGGGACCAATGGAAGAATGTGGTTGTAGAAACCCCGAGATCTTCAAGAGGAACCTACAAACCATCTGAATTGACCCCAGCAAGTTGGTGGGTACACAGAGAACTGAGATATTTACCTACATAGAGACGTAAGGTGGATGCAAGTAATTCACTCAGTACACAAGCTTCATGTGAGCATTGTACTTGGCATTGGAGCGATAAAGAGGAACTAGGCACAATGAGAGCTTCTAAGCTCTGAATGAAAGTCAATTATCACCTGTGGAGAGTGAACTAAAATAAAGATGTGCAGTTCTACACCCTGGAAGTCCTGAGCCAATGGGCCTGGTTTGGAACCTGAGTGTCTGTATTTTTTTAAACATACCAAGATGATTCTAAAGAACAGCCAGAGCCTAGAAGAACCTCATACAAAGGTTGTCCCCTACTGAGAGGGGGATTCAGACACGTACCCAGATAACTACAATACCATCTTGAATTGCAATGTTGCAATGTTGCGGATCGGGTATGACAGGAGCACAGAGGAAGTGATGAGGCTGGTAGTGTGGGCATGGCCACTGAGGCTTCATGTCATTGAGGTGACAACCATGCTGGCTTTTTTATTATATATGGAGGTTCTCCATGTGGATAAAGAAAAGGGCATTTTAGATAAAAAGAAGACTATGTGTAAGGCATCCTCTGTTTGTCTGTTAGCTTTTAATTAAAAAAGCAGAATATGTGTGGCAAAAGAAACTTTCAACTCTGTGGCTTTTAAAACTATACAATTTGTGCTACTTTAATATTATTAATATTATAGAGGACAGGAGTTATGTCTTCAATGGTTTCTATGTCATTGTCAGCAACCCTCAGGAAACCTAGCAGGCATTAGTAATTGTGAAGGCAAATGACTCTGGAGCGATATGTGGACCTTGTCATTATTTTTCATTTGCATTTGTATTTTTCTGAAATTCTGAGGGCCAAGAAAACACTGACTTTGACGGAGGAGGTCACATCTGTGCTATCTCTGCAAATCAATCAGCACCATTGAAATAGCTACTTAGCATTCTGCTGACAGCTCGCCCTGCTCAGTGGAGACGAATAGACTTGTCCGCCACCGCTATAAGCACGTTTCAGCAACCAGAATTAGAGCCACGCAGGTTCCTAATGCCTCCTGCCTCAGGTGGCTCTCAAAATGGAAAGGACAGTTCACACCAAGTCATTTTCTCCCGTCCCAAAGGCCACTGAACAGTTGTGCTTTTCCATATTTTTTTGCAGGACAGAGCCCTGAAGACCAGATGACCTGGCAAATACATAAGTTCTAGTGTAATCATTTGCTCTGCTTTCTTTCTGAAGTAATGTTTATCTTTAATTTTATGTCAGAAATACACTGGATGCCAATTATCATGAGGGAGGGTGATTTAGAGGTCAACCAAAGGAGTTGCCCCCAAGCTCCATGTTTGTTATTGCCCTGAAATTCGACTTCTTTAGTTGGCTAGACTGGAAACTCGGGAAGGTAGATGTTTTTGTGACAAATGACAAAACAATCTGCGATAGGGATTTTAGATTTTAACGATTTAAGATGAAAGAGCAGCTGTCACCCAGGGACTTTATGTGCCAGGCATCAGTTTTGAAGGTCGGCGTCTCCCTTTGCCCTTCCTCGGCATGGTCAGAACTCTAGGTCATGGAAGTTACTAGAAGAGTACAGTCGAATTTTTTACTGTGTGGCACTGTATTCTCTCCAGCTTTCAAAACATTAAGGATCTTTCATGTCTTTCAAAGCAACACACTTCATTCTTCAGTGAACTGAAATCAACCAACTTGACTGCCCCCCTCCATCCTTAATATGCCTCTCTCCATCCAGCACCCAGTCAGCATTTATCTCGGGCTCTACAGGGATGCTAGGACCCA